TACAACTCGAGAAACAAAAATTGTTCAATATCAAAAGCTTTGTTCAATTAAACGCTAAATAATTAAATAACAAGTAAGAATAAACGTAATATCGAGGCATCTAGTCAGAAAGCAATTCCTTAAGTTGACATTAACTTTATGACTGTAGAATACGCAAAAAGGAAGTTATAAACCGTACAGCAAGAATTAAACGGCGTGTACGGTGGGGTTGGACGTTACGCTGAAACGAAGTATAGTGTAGCAAATTATTTGGACGAACCAAGTTTGTGTGGCGGCATTCCTGCTTGGCCTTCATCTGGCCATCGTCTTACTTAAAATGGCAGAAAGGCTTCGACTTACGGTAGGTGATACTTGCGGTAGGTGATACTAAGACGTATACTACTTCGAAAGAAGTATGGTTTGTTTTTGCATGCATCGCGAATCGTGAAAGAACGCCGTTTCCCCGTTTTCTTTTTTAACACACACAATGCTCCTGCGACTTAATTTTTCTAAATAAATATATATATATATATATATATATATATATATATATATATATATATATATATATATATATATATATATAGCCATTCCACTCTGTGAAGGTGGGTGACCAGCAAAGCTCTTTAGCAGACGACACAGACCCGCCCCGAGAAACCGGAGGAAAATAGACACGCGCGACGGGACCGCCACCCCGGGAGAACGGAAGGAAAGGAAACTAGGCACGCAAGCGCTTGGAACGACGACAAAGAGAGGGCGGTGCGAGCATAGACATGGCCGACGCGGGTCGCACAGCGGCGAATCTTTGAGAAACCCTTATTATCTACCTGAGGGTCTACTGATCTTGAAAATGGTGACTATTGATAACTATTCTACTGAAAATGCATATCCAAATGATGAGACGTATAAGCTTTAGCATAGAATGAAGCGATTTTGCACCCAATTTTGGACCTGAGTTTTTGTTGACGCACACGAAAAATCCTCGGAACCCTAGTCATAAACAGCTTTGCTGTATAAGCATGAGTAAAGAAGATGCGGTGTAATTGCGAGCCTTTACAATGAAAGTAGGTCCCCAATGATGCGGCCTAACTTGGCACATTTCGACGCAAAAATTATTTTTTTAGTTCAACCTATTCAACTAGATATTTAGTGGCATAGGCCCAATGTTGTACGTGAGCCGCACAACTGTAACCACGATATCGGAAACATAGAACTGAGTTAAAGAAGTTTTTCAACCCCCCCTTTAAACCACTGTTAATTTTTTTTTACCCCAGTCTCGAGTTAAGGGCGTGGGAAGTCTTGAAATCATTTGCACTACGTGCTTAGCGGACCAATCAAACGCCTCCCTTTCACCATCGGGCACCACTATTTGCGCATGAGTACGGGCGGGAGAGTAATCAGGTGGCGATCCCAAGACCATGTTCGAGACTAGAGCACTGCACGGTCCTTCTTTTTTAATGCCCGACCCGGCCCGGGGCCTTCTGCCTCTTAACCTTAACCTTGCCCCACCCGGACCCTGCCCTATGGGATGCTTACCTGATCAGGCCAGGAACGGGCGTGGCCCAGTGAGAGGCCAAGGCGTGCCTTAATTCTCACTTAAATTCAAGGAAGCCCTGGGAACGTGTTGATGCATTTGATTCGTTTAACCTAATTTACATAAAAGACTGGTAAGATGTTATGTGTCGGCATAAAAATGCGAATGTAAACATATATATTTTAATAAAACTCGTTCAAAAGATTCCGAAAACCTTCTAGACATATAGAGCCTATACAAGCCACAGATTCTACGAGAGAAAAGTAGAGAGTTGGGCTAGTCGGTGTAAGTTTAACATTTTGAGCGCAGTGTGGTAGACTGAGAGATGCTGGGTTTCCGTCGGCCCTGTTGAGTGAAGTTGCCAGTACACATGTAAAGAAGGTTAAAACGGTTTCTTTATCTAAGAAAATTATTGACAGGAGGAGGACTGTTGTCATTCCCTACCTGCGCAAGGTATCTCAAAATTTGAAAAAAAAAAAAGTAGAAGGCCGGTATTGCATCCCGGTTGTGTTTTCCGCCCCCAAGAGAATGAGCCAAATTTGTTCAAGGGTCAACTCGAAAGCAGAGGGTCTACCAAAAAGAGTGTTGTAGCAAAAAGCATGCCAAACCGTTTGTGTCTTGTACATCGGGTGTTGGTTACAGGATACACATCTCTTGCGGCAAGGTATATAATGGAGAAACCGGTAAATGCTTGAACGACAGTCTCAGGGAGCACGACAATTCCGTGGGAGCTTCGGTCCGTGGACATCTATCGGTGCACTGCGGGACTTGCAAATGCAAACCTTCTTTTAATGAGACCGCTATCTTAGCAAAGCACCGAGATAAGGTGACGATCAAGAGAAGTGACTGAGGCCTTTCTTATTGTTAATTACGGCGCGCGGAGCGCAATGTGTCAGCAAGCCATCGGTGGTGCTATCGGAAAAAGAAATGCTTTCTTTTACTATGAATGAGGGGCTAGCGATGCGCTGATCGCTGATGCAGCTTGTGACGAGACAGTTTGGGTGGCGCATGCGTGGTTGAGTGTGCCTTTTATGTTTTCCTGATTTTTGTTTTCACTATTATTTAGTTGCGAATCAGCGCTCGTCCTGTGTTGTGTGTTCCTTCTCTTAGTCCTCGTTGTTATGCGCTGTGCACCATTTTAAGATTTTACGCAGTTTAGTATATGAACTGAAGTTACGGAGGATTAAAAATATTCTGTATTCACGCGTTTTATACAGAAACTAGAGGTTATCTAAGGAGATTACACAAATATAAAAGACAGCTTATCTTTAGCAACCAAAGGGAGTTGTGTTTTTTTTTTCTGTTTTGTTTTTTGTTTGTTTATTTTGGGAGTTTGGAAAGGAAAGGCTAAGACAATCGCACCGTCCCCTGGGACTACATTCCTTTCGTTTTCTTGCCTGCTTGCAGCTGTCCCACAATGCTAATGGAATCCCCAGGATTTTCCCCCGTATCTTCTTGTGGGCTTTCTTAGTTCAAGACAGTTGTCTTTATTTTTAAGAATATTTTAGTAACGTCGTAGCGGGTGTGCACATGGACTTTTTTTTATGCGAAAGCATTAGCTGTTTCATGGAGAGAGCTGACGTCATCAGTTTGAAGCGCAAAAGCGGCTCCTAGTTGCAGCCGGGATCCCAATAGGAGCGATTCGCCTTCGGTTCCACTGGCAGGCGCGCGTCGACGGGGCTGCATTACTGAATCATGCGACAAGACAGAGAAACAATAATTAAACCTGTCCTCCGCACAGCTGCCGGAAGTACACCGCCCTACACTTATCTGCGCCGGTGCAGTAAGTGCAGGTAAATCGAGGGGCAAAGGGAGCTATGACGTCACTATGACGTTGCATTAAATTATTTCCAGGCCACGAACCGGTCTCGGAGACGAATTTTCAACTCTGATCACGGACGCATGGGCGTGGCTTCTGTTAATTTACGCTCCCTGCTTTGTGATTAGTTTCTTGGGTGTTTTCGTCTGCGAATGTCGCAATATGATTGGTTGCAGGTCCATAATGAGATGTACGTGACACGCCAAGTCCTGCGTTTTTTTTAAGTTGTCGACGGCTCTATAGTACAGGTAAACATACGTTTTGCGCAAGCACATGAAATCCCTGTAATCAGAGCAACAAAAAAAAAAAGCGCTATTTTGCGTGTTGAACACTTTCTCACACTTTGCCATCGTGATTTCGGGGTGATTTGTTTTATTCGTTTATTGTGCATGGCAGAATCGTTGCTTTGCAAAATGAACTGAAAAGGGCCACAACAGGTAACCTCGTAAAACAAGGTTTCGAAATGTACAATACCGAGGGAGACATGCGCTACCTTTACAAACAATCACACAGTTCGTACAAATCACAAAGACCTTGCAAACTGGGCGGGATAATTCTTGGCACGACGAAGGCGCCACGGGAAACGCCTTCGACTATTTCATCTCGTTGTGAATAAATTATTACTGTACATAAGGAGGAGGATTTCAGAACTGGGTCACGGTCAACTATCCGTCCATGTCTCTTGTGTGGGTGTTTTCTTAACACGCTCTTGTGAATCAAGTGAATCAAGCATGGATGGTGAATGCAAGGTGTTGGCACTGTCACGTTTAGAGCGACATAAATGTCGTTCAATTGTACTCCAGCACAAATAAATTTATATAATTGTTGGGCTGGCCTGAAAGCGCTAAACATCGTTCAGGGTAGACCGCAAGGGCTGGTTGTAAAACAGCCAAAATAGATTTCTGTCGCTTCAAAGCTAAGAATGACAGTAGGTCCTTTTCGAAGGGCTGCCTCCTGCTGTAAGCTCTGGAAGGTTTAATAAAAAGAGGAAAATGAAACCATAGTTCTTCACTCTACTTGCGATAGTTTCAAACCCAGGATATTTCAGGTATGCTTCCAATAGGTACAACTTGCTAAAGATACCGACAGTCATTTTTAATACAGGCTCCGAATCTCAGCTAACCCTACAGACTAAACAAAGTATAAGTTCACACTCCTGTAGGTAAAAAAAAAACAGCCAATCACGGCGAAAATTGAAAGAACTTTGCTCATGATAAAGCTCAAAATCTGATTAGACGAAAAAAATTGCTGCGCAACAGCAATGAGCACGAATAAGCCAATCAAAGGCGCGTCGCATGATTGATCTAATCGTATTTGGAGCTTGGTCATTAGCTGTGATCCTTCTATTGTTCACCGTGGTTCGTCGTCTCGTGTTTTTCAGAAAAACAAACTCACTGGGTTTTATTTAGTGTATGTCACACTGGGCGTGCATTGTGATGTCATGAGTTTGATAACACAGGTCACGCACTTGTAGGTAAAATGACAGTGAGGCTTCCTAAAGCCACAGTCACGATACTCGTGAATATTACAAAAGAAAGTCCGCAGACAGTGTTTGAGGCATATTTCTTCCTTGCATGACGGCCCAGTCATGCAAGTCATACGCACAGAGCTCCACACCATCACGCCACTCAACGTTTCCCCGTCATCCTACACACAAAGTCCGCCGAGTCAAGAAGACTCCGGCCTTTCCTCCGGCGAACAAGACCTCGACGTCGTCCGCTTCGCGGCGTGCTCCTTCGCCTTGATCCTCAGAAGATCAAGACTAGAAGACGACCCGGACGTGGAAGGAGACTTCTGTCCCGCTCCGACCCTCTTGTGGTTCGCACCCGGGTCGAACAAGGGGCAGGGTCCCGCAGCCGGGAACGGGGCTGGCAACATGTACAGTTTCGGTGTCCAGGACCCCAGCGTGGCCGCCACCAGGGCCGACTGCGGGGTCGCCCAGAAGGGGTCACCGGCGGAACCGAAGGGTCCGGAGGCGGCGAAGATGTCGGCTGGGTGTCCCAGGAAAGGTGCCAGGCAGGAGCCGTGACCCCTGCTCTCTGATCCGGGGCATCCCAGGGGGGGAGGTGGAGGCGGCGGGCTGTCGCGGCCGAGGGCCTTCTCACGCTTTCTCCACTTGGCCCGCCTGTTCTGGAACCAGACCTGAAAGGCACGGAAGGAGTTGCCCAAGTCGTTTGTTCGGTGGTCAGCATGAAAACAAGGCACGCGCCATTTCCCCACAAATGTCACTTGGGCTGCCAGGTGGGCTGCCCAAGAGGGCCCCACTTTGGCCCGACTCGCAAAACCGACGTGGAACCCAAGTGGGCTGCCCAAGTGGAACTCACGTCCCCCCCTCTCTATTTTAGAGCCCACTTCGTGCTACTTGGCCAGATCAGTCGTTGCTAGTACAAACACTGGCTATATCCCGTTCACCCTTAATTAAAGGAGCAGTGCAACAATTTTTGTACTGTGCACAAATACCGCTTAAAACGGATCCCTAACGTTAATGACCTATGAAACACGCGTTCGTTTTTCACCCCACGCAATAGAAGTCCCAGAAAAAAATTTAAGAAAAACGAGCAGCGTTCACCCCCTCAACTCGCAGCCAGAACAAGCGGCCACGTGATCTGGAGCCGATTATATGCCGCCAGTGTTGATCATAGCCACGCGCTGGGGTTGGCAAAGCACAGGACACGCGCTGAGTTCCAGACATTGTTATGACTCGGCTGTTGTCGTCGTTGCAGCGATTGGACACGGGTCACAACCCGAATGCTTCTCGAGCTAGCAATTGTCACGAGCCCAAGTCGAGTGCCCACGCAATGCTCGGGTCCAATCTATGAACCGCATTCAAATATCGTCACTTGGGTGTACTGCGATCCCCGAGTTACGTCATCAAATTTTGCAAAGGAGAGATTGAATGAAAATGACCTCTTTTGTCCTTGAAATTACACCGCAACAAAGGAGTTTCTTGGCCAATGGCGTTGCGCGTGAGTATCCTTGAGTCCCAGCTGTGCCAGTAAGCTCGTGTAGAGAGAAAAACATTCCAATTGAATATCGTTGCACAGCTCCTTTAAGCTGAGAGTGTAGTACGCGCTCGTCGGTCCCAATCAACCGCCTCCCCTTCATCACTTGGTTCCCCTCTCTGCGCGTGGGTTTGGGCGGGAGCGTTATCACGTGGTCAAAGGGAAAGCTATGACTGGTCCAACGAGAACGTAGTTTTCACTGCTCTGCCAGCTTAGGGCTGAAGGCCAACCAGTCTTGTACACATTACTAAAAAAAATTAATTACAATCACAATTACTCTGGACTAAAAAGCATTCAATAATATTACTTTATGAGTCGAGAATAGAAGTAATTGGGCGTTACTTAATTGAAAAAGCAGCCGTTACTTTTTTCCGATTACTTCAGACTTTCGGAACGACAGAAGTTTTTGTCGGTTTGAAAAGGGTCCTATCGTACAGTCCATTTTTGGATAAGAATTGCTGAATTAGAAACTACTTATCTTCTCAATCCAGTAATTTAAAAAAAAAAAAGCACCCTCTTGTCGGAGCCGTGGTTGGACAATCCCCTTGGGAGAAAACTTACATAAACAAAGCGCGCCAAAGGAAAGAAAAAGAAATAGCAACTGTTACAAGTAATTTAAGCACTTTCAAAAGTGATCAAATTACTTCTGTGATTATTTCGTAATAAATGCAATTGAATTATTACAAAATTAAACCCCCAAAGTAATGAGTACGGTACAAATCCGAGCCAACGCGGTCTTTCTTTTTACCCTGCGCCTGCACAGAAAGACCAGATTCGCTTGATGCGTCTGCGCATGCGCAATGTCGACAGCAGCGCCACCGCAGCGACGTGACGTCGGAGAGTTGAGTTGGTGTATAGGTGGCGCCAACCGCCGAAATCTATATTCACTCCGCACTGCGGAGTGAATATAGATTTCACATTTAAATATTCTAAGCTTAAATGGTAAAACAAAATGGCTAGGTGGCGTAAGCTACCGCCCGATCCAAAGGGCTCAGCCGTATTCATCCATCCATCCATCCATCCATGCTTTTTCGTGCTCCTGCAAAGAAGTCTTAATAGCCAAACTTGTATTCCATACCCAAAACAAGTGCGGATTTCAGCTGTGCCTAATGCAGTTCTTGCGGCTCGTTCACGCATCTTAACATACTCAGGCTACCTGACCTTTTTATACCTTAGATGATTGTTTTGCATTCAATTTAAAGTTTAAAAGCACCTTGTATCCAATTTAAAGTGTCAAGGCGCCTTCGTGTGCATTTCTCACTTCCGTGAGCTAAAATCTAATTTTAGGGACGTCAAGGAATGTCTCTTAATGCAACGCAAAACTAAAAAAAAAATGCAGCATTGGTTTTTATGGTTAGAACGTCAGTTTTCGAAGCATCGCTAAGTAAAATAACTATATATAGTATCATATACTTTATTTATTTAGTGCATTTACTGAGTTGAAAAGAAAGCCCGCACGTTATTATACCGAATGCTGAAAATCAAAGTTGTGCTCAGCATCAAGGCCCGCAAGTTTCCCTCCATTTCGACGCTTCCGACGGCACCAACATCTCGAAAGTGTGTGCGCGTATAACTGATTTCATAACTCGCTACGTGCTCAGCAAGGACATCGATCCCGCAACACCACCCCTCCGATGTCCCCAACGAACCAAAAGCAACGGGTCGACGGAGCACTCAAGAGCAGGGATGAAGTCACTACACAGAAAAGACAACAGCCGCGACTCCTTGGCTGCTACACTCCGTTCCGGCACAGCTTATGGTAAAGGAGGAAAGCTACGGCTTTTCGTCAGCCAATCAGAGCAAAGGAGTCAACCACGTGTTGGCAAAGCTTGCTATCTTTAGTCGGAAAGCCCATTGACCGGCAACTTAAACCATGGAGATCGAGCAGCTGGGTTTCCTCTCGAATCGAGGCGCTCTAGTTCGATGTCACGTGCTTCCTTCGGACACTCTGACTGGCTCACTGAGGCGGCAGTTTTCTCTGTTTGCTAAGACAATGCCGAAACTGGGCATAGGACAAAGTTCTTTCTGTTAGTGCCCCGAGCGAGCCGCGTTAAACGCTTCATTTGTCGTCCGGCCTCTCCTTTCTTTAGTGTTATGCTGGATGGTAGCCACTGAGGAGAAACACGCTGTGTCCAGTCCTCCCTGTTCCGCCACTTTTGGTTCTCTTGTCTGCTTTTCCCTCCCCGTCGTCTGCTTCGGCAAAGATCGTCTGCTCGGTTCGATGGAAGCGAGGGAAGAGAAGTGTTTGACGGTTCTTTTGCTGTTTTTTTATATATATATATTTGTTTCATTCTGTGTGTATCTACTTGATCCTCTGTCTTCTAAGTTTGGCATTAAGCGTTCTTCTCTTGTTCTTGTCTCTAGTATTTTGGGGGTCTGTTGAGCAATTTTCTGGATGTCATGCGCTAACTGTACAAATCGAAGTTCGTCTAGTGGAGGCGAGAGATCAGGGTCTAGGATTGCCTGAATTACTCAGGGTAGAGACAGGTTCTGTTGTATTTAAGTGTCTGTAGCGTGCGCCCCCTATACAACATATCAGGCACTTTGAGCGATAATATTGCATTGAAGCACTAGTTAAAGCTACGTACCCCTGCCGGAAGATGAGAGCGCGTGCACTTCGCAGAAATAAAACGAAAAAAGGCCGGGCGGTATGATATATAAAATGACCAAGATCTCGATCGTCACTCTTCAAAAAGGCATGTGCATTAAAACACCATCAATGCATCAATGTACACTCTTCAAAATCGCATGTGCACCAAGGCACAATCAAGGCATCAGGGCACTCTTTAAAACAGCAGATGGATCGAGGAATCATCTTCAAAAAATCATTAAGGAATAAAGGTCCTTTTTTAAAGGGTGCTTCAACCTTTTCTTCATAGTCCCCGATTTTTCTGAAAATTTGCTAAAGACAACAACAAACTTCTCTGAAATATAACCCAGATATTGGGCCAAAATAATTTTTCGTTAAGTTAATGAATTCACAATTTTGATCCTCACCGCCATTTTCAAAGTGAAAGTCTCTACTGACCTCTATGAACATGTGACGTCAGCAGAAAGCAGAGAACTGTATATGCTTCGTTCTCAACTGATAACGAGCAGTTTCATGGCCTCAAATGAATGCTTTGGAAGCTCCCTCCAGCACCCGCGCGGCATCACGAAAAAAAAAATGCTCGGCATGGTTTACTTTTGGACTGCCTGCTCGACTTACAAGGCCTGCTTTTACCTGACGTCACGGCGCTGACGTAGCGGCACAAAAGCTATTCTGAATTTCGAGATACTTAATGGCATACCGACAAGAGTAAATGCCGATGAATCCGCAAATATAGCTAGTTAAGGTGGCTAAAGAAGTCGCCGGAGTGCCTCTTCAACAGCGCATTTGCTCCAAGGCATCGAGGGTCAGTCGATATAGGGCCGCCACCCACAAAAATGTATCGTCTGTTTATTTGTTTGTGACTGTGCGGCAAGAACGTTCTGGCCGCACAACATATCGATTCAAAAGCGGCGCCTATTTATAGCCTACTTGATATATGTGTCGTCTCAAATATCGGACGACTCGGTTCTCAAACACCAACTAAATCACCTGTCTCTTCGTATCTTCAACACACTCATTCAAGTTTCCCCTCTAAATGTAACGGAAAAGTTTCTAGACGACACGATGGAAAACTGCTGAACTCGAACGAAAATTAACGTTAAAAAGGGATTTTTAAGACCCTTCCCGTTGATCTGGAGACCTCCGAACAGCGATCGCCCCGCGACCAAGGACCCTTATTTATAGAGGCAAGCATCAGATCTTGAAATGCGCCGAAGAAAACTCGGCGTTGGGATCGGGCCCAATCAAGCAACACTGGCAGTCTCCATTTTTCGTATAGGATAGGTGGCGCAAGCTACCGCCCGTTACAAACGGTACAACCATTTACATCCATTCATCCATTCATCGTTCCCGAGGTTTGTCAGTGGATCCGATTCCGCGCCGAACTCTGACGCAGCCCTCGTGACCAATACATCTTCAGAGTATGTGCACAGGCAATGGTGTACCGGGAAAACTGGCGTAGCAGCCAATAGATCCCGTGCACTTTTGAGGGGGTCTATGGCCAAGTTGAGGCCATCCTACTATGACGAAGGAGAAAGTGGAGGTAATTT